GGATGTTATTTTATGTGGAAAATAAGAGAAATTATGGTAACCATGACTTAAAAAGTGTGTTCATAAGGAAACTGGAGCTCATTTTAAATCAAATAGTTGGAAGCTATTATGATGGTTTTATTGTATACTTTTAGTAGAATTAAGGAGTAAATCTGGTAAGATTAACTGCATTTGTGGGTCCTTAAAGTGATAAACCTTTGTCCCAGTTTTTTAGCTGTTTTAATAGATTGTGAAAAACACCTAGTTTTTTTTTAGTTAGAGTTAATTTTTTTAAAAAAGAAATATAAGTATAGTCTACATACGTATAAATTGGTTTCATCTTTTAAAAGGCTAAAGGAAAAAAAAGACAAATATTTGTAATTGTTTCCTTTGCAAGGTATGCTCTATAAATGCTACATTTAAATACTCTATTTGAAAACCCCGTTATTGCCCATCAGCAGGTTGACAAGTGAAACCATGACGGCCCAATGAGACCAATTTCTATATTTAAAATTCAGTTTAGCAAATTGACATTTTCTATTCCCTTTTCTTCCTGATGTTCCTAGAACAACAGATCACTATTTTATGGCAAAACACAAGCCCTGCTTTTATTTGCCTGTCATGAAGAATTAAACACAAAAAGATGAGTTGCTGTGGCTATCACTTTTCCTTAGAACTAGCTGATGTGGTTTTAAAATGCAAACCAGATCAAAATCAGCACAAACCCTGGGGGCTTGGTTTACGTACTGAATGAACCAGCTTGTTTTGAAAGAGCATTTCTTCTTCCCATTTTTTTTTAAACTTTTGAACAAACTTCCACATCTGACTCATTTGATCTTTATGCTGCCCCGTGAACTAGGAAGACCAAAATTATTTTCCTGGCAAGAAAATGAAGACAGAAGCTTAACTGACTTGCCTGTCAGTGCCTCACTGTGAAGGTCTGTGTCTCAGCCCCATTTGCTCTAGATCCATCATAGTGTGCGATTCCAGTGCTCTGCTGGTCCCAGTGCCAGAACACAGCAGTGATGTGCTCTAGTTGGATGCTGTAGATTTGTGAGAGACAATTGTGAAACTGAGAATTTTGTAAGCTGCCATTAAAGTATTGGTAGCTTGAAATTTGTCATAGTGATAATAACTACATGTGGAAATCCAGTAGTGATCTTTCCCATGGAGAATTGGTTTGCCATCGTAGCACTGGTTGTTTCTTAAGTACAAATTGAAGAAGAAAAAACAAACACACAAAGAAAGCAGCAGTGTAGTAAACATGATTTTATGAATGTAGTACTTACCTAGGGAAAACGCCAGTATTTCTTTGCTCGGTAAGGAAGGGAGTCCCTCTTTTATCCACTCTATCCACATAACCTTAGTTCGCTTTTGGGCTTTTTGACCCAATCTAGGAACCGTGCAAGAGCTGACTAGCAAGAGACAAGCGTGCAGGTTTTATTAATTGTAATGTACACAGGGATCTTTATAAAAAGTATGAAGAAAAGAACAAAGCATGTTGCTTTATATTTTTTGGACAAAAGAATAGTAAATCTGTGGAGGCAGGATAGGGCACATGGATCTGGGCTTGGGGAGTAGATTCTAGGGGTGCTGCTGAGATATGTCAGGCAAGGGGAGTGTGGAAGCTAGAGGAAGGGGAGGGTGACTCCAGAGTTATCTGTTCAGGTTCATGGTAGCCCCAGTTAGCAGTCTCTGGTAATCGAGACTGGCTTTTAGCCTTGATGTGTGAGAGACCTCTCTCTCAGAAGAGTCTTTGTGGCTTGCCGCATGTAGAAAATGACAGGCTGTCACCCTTGCAAAAGTTACGGTTTGCCAAGTGATTTCAGTTTGAAATACTTAATATACCAGTTCCTCATATTTTGAGATGGCACGCTTTTAACTCCTTCGACTCCTTAGCTGGGTGTTCTGAAGGATCTTTACAAACCCTAACTATTCTTTAATAGCTACATCTAGTAGTACCAGCCCTTCCAAAAAGTTACAGCAATGTGGACAGCTTTTCCCTTGTCAAACCCTCTTATGGGGTTTGAAACAGAGCCTCAGAAATTGGGACTTAATTGTTTACTGTTGTTCTTATGAATTAAGTTTTTTTAAAGCTGTGATATGTTTTTGAGGCAGAGGAATGTGGGTTTCCCTTTCTTCAAATAACTATTTAATGAACACATTCTGTTACAGGCAGTCATCAAACCAAAATCGCTGCACTTTTTAGAGCTAATAGTCTGGAGAAGTCAGGAATTACTTTAAACAAATGAAATATTGTTGAATAATGCTTTGAAGAGATTGCTTATCATGTGGAAGGTGTTTAATGGTAGGACTGTGTTTACTCAGGGTTGTTAGTAAAAGTTTTCCTGGATATTGTGATTGAACTGAGATTTTTTTTTCTTTCTTTTTTTTTTTTTTTCCTTTTAAAAGTACAAGAATGAAAACATATTAACAAACAGACAACCATTTACAAAGTAGTACAAGGATAGTACAAGCAATACTGAATTACAGACAAGGTAACAGGGAATTAACAGTGGTTGTTGTATTACATATTGATAACTTCAAAGTGGTTACTCAGGAAAACAAATATAGACATGCAAGATTGATCAAATAATTAATCATTAACTGTTCCTTTCAATAAAGTGATATAAGTCAGTAGTACAACTATGTTAGCTATCCTATATATGCATATATACATAATTTTCCTCTTCTTTCTTTTCTCTTTTCCCTCATCCAAGTTACTCTTTTGAGCAGTTTCCTTTCATTTCACAATGTTTATCATACTTCCTAATTTTTGTTCACTCTTTCAGGTTCTTACACTATTGAGACAATACTTTGCTTACACATGCAGGTCTGATTTATTTCACTTATGAGTATGTTCTCTAGTTGTGGCCATTTACCTAAAAAGCCTCAAGTGTCTCTTTCTTTATAGCTGAGTAATATTCCATTATATAAAAAAGCCACAATTTTTTTATCCAGTCCTCAGTGGATGGACATTTGGGTTGCTTCCATGATTTAGCAATTACAAATTGTGCTGCTATGAACATGGGTGCACATATATCACTGTGATATGATGTTTTCAGATCTTCTGGGAAAATATCCAGAAGGGGAATCGCTGGGTTGAATGGGACCTCTAGACCTAGTTTGCTGAGGAATTTCCACACTGATTTCCACAGTGGTTTCACCAGTCTGCGTTCCCACCAGCAGTGGAGAAGAGTTCCTATTTCTCCACAGCCTCACCAGCATTTGTTATTGGTTGATTTCTTAATGGTAGCCATTCTTACTGGGGTATGATAAAATCTCAATGTTGTTTTAATTTGCATTTCTTGAATGACTAATGATGTTGAACATTTTCTCATGTATTTATTTGCCATTTGTATATCTTTAACTGAGAAGTGTGTATTCATCTCAGCTGCCCATTTTAGGATTGGGTCTTTGAATTTGGGGAGGTTAATGTTTTTTGGTTCTTTATATGTTTTAGATAGGAGACCTTTGTCCAAGGGACAGCCAACTAAAATTTTTTCCCAATTTGTGGGTTTTCTTTTTACTCTGCTGATGATTTCTTTAGATGTGCAAAAACTTTTCAGTAAAATGAGATCCCAGTTGTTGATTTTTTGAAGTATTTCCCTTGCGGTTTGGTTTTTTGAACTGAGATCTGAGTAATGAGAATGAACGTGAGGCTACTGGGTCTTGAACATCATTTCTGTAATGCCCTTTCCATCTGTATTTTTTCCTGATTTTATGCTCTTATAGCACCCTGAATTTTCCCTTTGAAATGATAACTGCAATTTATTACTTTGTATTTATGCATTGAATGTTATTTTTCCCACTAGGCTATTGGTCCTATAGCTGGGACCATACCTATTTTGCTCACCATAATTGTCCCAGCATCTGTTTTAGTACCTGCCCCAAAATAGTCAATCTCTGTTTAACCTTTTACCACCCTTGCCCTTGTCTTATATAGTAAAGGCGTGGTGTAGCCTGACTCTCAGTTGTCATTTATGTGAAAATTCAAAAGTCAGAAAAGTAAGACAAGATCTAAAAGAGTTTAGTGACACAGAGTTCAGGAGGACACAATGTACCTGATGTAAATCAGGTGGAGCAGTATCCTCTAGACAAAAGAAAGAAAAAGCCATTCTGTTTGGGACTAGGAAAGTCTTACTTATTCTTACTTATCCTGCCAAATGAAAATTTATTCCACTTGTAAAATGGATGTAAAAATGGTTGTAGAGTTAAACATTTAGTGTTGCTTTTTAAAGTCATGTTCTTGTGAAAAGTAAAAGGAAGGTATAAATGAACACGTTCTCGGGGGGGAAAAAAAAAACAAAAAAACATGTCCAAGCATTTGTACAGGATTTTATCAAATATGCTTTGAAGGAAGGAAGAAATAAGAAATGGAAGAAAGAAAATTACACATTGGAAGCAACATGGATGTGAAATGTTTATTTTATTTGGTGTTTATTTTATAAACATAATATAAACAAACACCAAATATAAACAGATAATATTTTATTATATAAAATGTTTATTTTTTATTTTATTTACTCTATCTTTTGGTACCCAGGGCCTCATACATGCTAAGCATGTTCTTTTATAGTTGTCGTTAAGTGATAGGGCTCTGGATAATATTTTTCCTTCTTTATACTTTTCTGTATTTTTGCTAGTTTTTTTAAACTTAGTATGCATTACTTTCAGAATGAAATAATAGACAGAATGATATCTTATAAAGTTGACAGTTATAACCTTGGATAGGATATAGAATCAAACATATATCTAGAAGACTCAAGATTGTCTTTTAGATTTTTCTTTTGCCCACCTAAATTTGTTTACAGTGTTAGTACATTAGCATTAAATGCCTGGTGGATCTTTGTTTATATGTTTATCTCTTCCTCTGGAGCCCGAGCTCTTTGAGGGTGGAGATCTTTGTTTACATCTCTAACATCATTCATGTCAATGACTCATATTTGTTGGGTGAGATTTGAGACTAAGACATCATAACCCTTCTATTACCTCTAATCGATGTGCCTTTCTATTTTTAGAGCATAAGCGAGTGAGCCATGATGAATGGTCATATTTCTAACCATCCCAGTGGTTTTGGAATGTACCCATCTCAAATGAAGTAAGTTGAAAGGTTTATATTTAATTTGTTTTGGGGCAATTAGATTTGGTAGTTTTAATTTTTTATATTTTTAATTAAAAGCTTAAATTGTATTTCTTTATGGAGTTCATTCCTCATTAATCCTTTTAGTACTAATGCATGTTGTCATTAAAAGTTTACTGTGTCTTGTAGGAATGAGACAGTTAAGTAATATCACTGTCTGTGATACGGTTTCATAGTTATAAGATGCTTTGATCTGGTATTTTACATTTTATTGCTTTTTGTGGTTGTATACTCTACTTAGAGCTTAGAGTTTCTTTGCAGCATTCTGATGTCTGTAAAACATTGCCATTTGAGAAGAGTTAAACATCATTTGGTTCAAACCTTCAAGATATTTACCATTTTGTAAAACAAAACAAAAATCAGGCAAGCAAACCATTTCCAGTGGTTCCATATATAAGTTGAAATCACAAATCTGACTCAAGTGGCCAGTGTTTTCTACAATGTGCCTGAAGTTGTTATTTGATATTGGCCATGGTGATATGTATTTCACTCATTATTTCAGGACAGATAATATTCGCTGTATTTAGGGGATGAAAATTTAGCCCTGGATCCACCTGTGCTTCTCCAGTCAGTCATCTATTCTGGGCACTTCTCAATGCATTTTCCCTCAGATACCACGCAGTGTCTCCAGCCAGCTTCACATACCTTTCCCTCACTGGGTTCTCCACCTGTCTGTTGAGCTTCTTTCCATTCTGTTACTTTCTGCTTATATGTCAACTTGGTGGTGAAGTCTTCCTGTATATGCTAATGAAAAGTTAGTTCTTTGCTGATCTTACCTGTCTTGTCCAAGAGTTTTCTACCCAGACACCACATTCTGTCATAGCTATTTTGTTTGTCTTATTGAAAGTGTCCCCCTTCCACAACCTTTTCTAGGTTTTAGAGCTTAATAAATGAATAAAATACAAATAAATATTTTTTACTTTACTTAACATATTAGTAACAAGAGGCAAAGATGGAGGGTAAAGTGAGTCAAATTCAATGCAAAGTGATATGTAGATTAAGTATTTATGAAGACAGTGTCTCTTCCTTTGCAGTTTAAATCTCTGGGAATGTTTCACCCCTGTATTATCACTTGGAACTTGACTGGGTATGAGAAATTTACACTTCCGTCAGACAGTTCCAACCTTGATGAATCCTCTTGGCTACAGTCTGAATCAGCATTGGAGAAGACTGTGATTTGCACCACCTCTGTCCTTACTGGGATCATGTGGTTTATGTTCTGCTTATCCCCCACTCACCGGAGCGGGATCTTGCTCACTTCGGCAAACTCAGTATAAACTCAGTATGTTTTTCTCAAAACACACAGTGATGATAGCACCCTGGAATTTTTATTTTCTAATTCTGAATTTTTATTACTTATTTTGGACTTTAACCCAACACAATGACCATGTTTAATTACAGTGGCTACGGATCATCGCCCACCTATGCCCAGATGGACAGAGAACACAGTTCAAAAACAAGTGCAAAGGCCCTTTATGGTATGTCTATCTCATGTCTGCTTTTCACCACTTTTCATGAATTTATATCTTCAAGGTCATAGTTTGTATCCATACGCTAGTATATTATTTGGAATGAAGTAGTGATGGCTAAGTAAGGATTATTTTAAAAAAGAGTTTTCACAGAGGGTTCCACAGCTGTGAACTGTGTTTCTGCCATACAGTTTGAAAGATAAAATGTATTGCAGTGGTTTCAGAAATCTTTTGCATGGCACCAATCAGTGAGTTTTTCTATTTGTTATTTGCAGTATGTTTGCTGATTTTGTGACTGATCCATTTAGTTACGGGCTGACTGATGGTGGAACTTTTTTCTTTTAGCTCTTGAACTTTAAGTACTATTGTAGCAAGACTAGCACCTTATATAGTTTCTTTCTGTACTATAAAATAGTCAAGCTTTTTCTCTAATGTATCACTAACTTCCAGTACCCACTCTAGTTTGTCTTTTATGTACATAATTTTTTAAACTTTGGATACTGGTGTAATGTAGGTAGAAGTTAGTATAGGGAAGTTGAGGACTCTTGGAATATATCACATATGTTTAAGATGGTGCTTAATTGTTCAGGGTCTGCATAGCCTTTTAGTATTGAACAATAAAGAATTAGGATGGTGTTACAGTTAGTAGAAAAGTTTCTCAAAGTAGACTACCTAGGTTTACATCCAGTTCTATCATTCATTAGCTCTGGGCAAATTACTTCCCATGTCTGTATGGACCTGGTTTTGCTCATCTCTATAATGGCGATATAGGGTAGCATTGATATGAGAATTAAGAGTTAATAAATGTAAAATGCTTAAAACAGTGGCTGGCAAGCAGAAAACACTGTATATATTTAGTGTTATTGGTGAGACTTTTATTATTATATACTAAAGGAACCAACACCATTTTCTAAATTTTTGAATCTTTTTATACTATGTAGATTTCTAACTCTGTGGCTGTGGTAAGAATGATTAATTCTAAACTTTTTGTGGCTCCTTTTCTACCTTACATTTATAAACCATACATGTATAAAATGGATTTAATACTGTACTAGAATATACAGTCTGTCTGATTTATATTCTTTTCAATTTTCTTGAATATCATATTAAGTCATTCTCACCATGATGTAGTACTTGTGCCTGTTGATCTAGAGAGAGGCAGTGAGTAAATACTAATACTAATACTAATACTAATATTAATACTAATACTCATACTAATACTTTGTAATTAATGTGTACTCAGAACAGCACCAATGATGCCTTTCTAATTCCTGACTTTAAGGGAACTCATAGTCTACAGTGACTTGAGGAAGATCAAAAAAGAAAACAAACTTTGTGAGAATAAAGTCATTACTTCATGCTTCGTTTCTAGACAGATATTAAGTGTATCAGTGTCCTATGCCATGATCATCCTAGTTTCTATTTCCAAGTTCTTTCCTTAATGTTAAGGACGAATAAGAGATTTTCATTGCTTATGTGCCATTTTGTGAGACAGACTTGTCCCTACATTATTATAATAAAGGGCTGACCATTGCTTGGGTAGCAGTGTCTCCCAGGAGCAGGGCAACCGGCAGCTCTTTTAAGAGGAGGGGTCGTGAGCAGGGATTTCCCAGAGGAGCTGTAGCTTGAGCTGAGCTCTGAAAGGTAAGCCGTGTTCTCCAGACAGCGGAGGGTGGGAGGATGCCGTGACCAGCCGCGTGAAACCTCCGGAAGCTAGACTCTCATCTCTATGCCAGTGGCCCACATTTGCCTGGCTCACTTGAGGATTGGCTGTGCTTTTTAGCACAATGGCTCATGCATAATTGATGCTCAGTAACCACTTGTAGAATGAATGTAAAGAATTAATGAACTACCAGCGGTTTGATATTAACCTGGGAGCAAAAGGCAGTCGGGCAGGAAATAAGATTGGGAAAATGTACACAAAACACACTGCGGAGACTCATGCTAATGAATCTGAACATTACTTATGAGTAATGAGCAGTCTTTAATACATTTTAATTGGGGGAGTGAAATTTGTCTTGGGTCACTTGTAGCCAAATTGGAAATGGATTTGATAAGTATACATGGAAAGAGCTGAACTCAGAGATTTAAGAAATATAGACAAATTAGTCACCTAATAATAGCTCTAAGACTATTCGTAAGCAGTAATTAATCCTCTCATAAAACCACAGGCCCCAAAGTCTCTTGTCAGAGACCTAAGAAGAAAATGATGATAGAAAATAGAACTTACCTGTAAATTTTAATTTTTTTCTGTGTTGAGTGTGACTTCATCAAATCTTAGGTTCAAGAATTAAAAAGCTTTAGTGTTTAGCAGTAAATTTTCATTTTCCTACATTTTACATGTAAAGCAGTGTGAGGCCCCTTTTTGTAGTTCAATAATTTATCAAAATCACAAACATTTAGAAAACTAATTATAAGAAAATATGACACATTTTGTGCAGTGTTATAAAAATGAACAGTGTATCAGTAGAACATAGGATATAAAGAATGAGGTGAAAGGGGGCAAATCAAAGACACTTTTATGAGGAAGAAAGACAGCAATATATTGGACCTGGAAGATGGTTTCAAGTTCTTTGAAGTGTGCATTCTGTTCCATTCCTGTCTGGGTCCAATATTCACCACTCCCTCCAGACATACCGTACACACACGCACACACACACACACACACACAAGGTGCCTTCCCTCTTACAGAGCACAGGTTAACTGTAAATGCCTGTGGAGTGTATAGGTAAATGGGAGAATGACAATGAAAATTATATTCATCTCTTGAATAAACTTTTGCAGTAAATTCCAGCTGAAGTCTTTTATTTAGCTTTGGGAATGTTCGGCATCCCACTCCATGTACATACTCTTAACTTTCTCTTTCTAACTGAAAAGTCGCTGGTGAGGTAGTTTATTGCTTTACCATCCATGAGTCTTCTTTACAAACTCTCCTGTCACAAGTATTAAGCCCATTGAATAAATTTCCTAAGAGTTAGTTTGTCTTTGTGGGTATTACATGACCTAGTGATAGGAGGATACTGTTTAGGGCACTGTGACAGGAGTCTTTCTAATGGTGAGTGAGATGCTCTGTCAGAGGTTTCCTGCAGCTTGTCTTTTTCATGAGAACACTTTTCAAGGGAATGCATTGCTCCTAGTCAGTGTGCTCACAGAGGTATCATGGGTTAGAGCACCTCCACCAAATTGCTGCTGTTTTGAACGAATAATTTAACCTATTGGCTCCTGTTTCCTCATCTGTAAAATAGAAATGATGCTAACACTGGTAAATTTGTCTGAGGAAACAGAAATAATAGCCCTATCATGGGAATGGGAAGGATACCAGAGAATCACTTTCTGTCCTGGGTTCTCAGATGCAACAAGACCCTCAAATATAGTATTTTGATATTAACATGATGATATACAGATCCTGTTAGAAATATAATCATAGTGATGCTTTGACCAGATGAAGAGATAGCCTTCATCACATATTTGAAAGCTTATCACTCTTGATAGCATAATAGGAAAAAGACAAATAAATTCTGTAAGGTGTATTGTCTCTTATATGACAATAAAGCCTTTTGTGGGGAGGATATATAAACTATTAAAGAAAAATAGTTAACATATGCTGCAGCTTTAGTAACCCTGTTCTGTCATTGCTTTGTTATTGTACAAGAAATTGTCAAGCCTGCGTGTGGAAGGTTCTGCATCACATCTCTGACAAAGTGTAACTTGTATTTAGGAAAATAAATACTCATTTCTTCCCCTTCTAGTTCTCTCATGACAGTAATATTTCATGTAGCTACTGGTGTTAGGGAATTGAAATTTCATGTGCATTTCTCCAGCTAATGTTTGTGAGTCTTTAAGCATTAAAATTTGAAATTGTTTTTAAGGGAAATACTTGTCAAATGTATTAAATATTCATTTTTTTTCCTCTGGGTGCGACACCTGTAGTGCTGGTTGGTGACTCAGAGTTGTGGGTGTGCCAGCTGCTCGAGGACTGTGCTGTTCTCTGAAGCTGTATCACTTACCTTTGCACTGGATCATTCGGAATGTTGTGCTTTTGGGATATTTGGGTCTACTTTTCCCGTGTAGCTATGTGCTAACCCTGTCTACCATCTCTGTTATTAACACATCTGCTTTTAGCTTGACTTCCAGTATCTGTGGGCTAAAAAACTAAATACAAAATCTGATTAGGAAATAGATCCTGAGTGTGGAATTGAGAATCTGTCCCATTACAGACTGTACATTTCAGGCTCTCTAAGGACCATGCAGAGGATTTATTTTACTTAAGTATGGGTTTTCTGCTGTTCTGAATAGCTGAACTTTCTAGAAAAGTAACTCTTACAAAATAGATTTTGCAAAATTTGGCAAAGTAATCAGCTGCTTAAAACCATCTTCTGCAGAAAAACTCCAATTGGATGGAATTGCCAATTAGTAGTTCTTTGTTATAGCTATTGTAATATTGATATTTATATTATCAGAAGGCCTAATGATGTTAGATAAATATAACAAGCAGCCTCCCAAGTCTCATTTTAGCCTTCTGTTTGAACTTTTTGTGATATTAACAAATTAAAAAAATGGTATTTTTTTCAGCTTTTGTCATTTTCCCGGGGAGGACCTGGTAAGAACTGAGTCGAAGTAACCTACACACTGCTCACCTCCTGTGTACTTGGGTTTACTAAAAGCTGTCCTGTATTTCTACACGGTGCTGTCCTCAGCCTTCCCACAGCAGGGTTCTGAAAGCGCCTGTTTCCTGAGCAGATACCTACCTCACATATTTTTCTTTTTATAGCTATCTTTCTCTTCTGCCTCTATCTCCTGATCTTCGTTCGAAGCTGGACTCTGTCTAACTGAAGGGCCAAGCATTGTCTTACACATTCAAGTGGTGCTTATTTCTCTTTTTCCCGTCCTTTTATTTTACAGTGTGTATCTCACTGAGAAAAACATTTAAATCTTCTTCAGAGCAAAATGTTGTGTTTTGTTGAAAATTCCTTAGGAAGTAAGTAGCCCACAGTTAAGTAGTATCAGGCCTTTGGGCAGCGTTAGTGTCAACGTATAGCTTAGTAGAGTGTGCCAGAGCAGGTCCAAAAACAGCCTGGCAGTTTTCCAGCTTAACCTACAGCTGATTTTGTACTCATGAAATAAGCCATTTTAATAAGTTCTTGATCAGGCTGTAAAATTAATTCTTAATGCAGCTTTGTAAAAGTGATTTATTTTTTAAATGCTGTACTGGGAATTGAACTCAGGGCTTACAGCGAGCTGTATCCCCAGCCCTTTTTTATTTCTTTTTAGTGGGGGACTCAGTTATCCAGGCTGGCTTTAAACTTTAAATCTTTCTGCCTTAGCCTCCCAGAAGGCTGGGATTACAGGCGTGTACCACCATACCTGTCTTCTTGTTTGCTTTTTAAATAGACTTTTGCTTTGGATACTGATTTGGCAAACTATGATTATAGTTGCCTAATGAGGAGAGCTTTGTAATATAGCTTAGTGTTTCTTACTACAGCGCCTTTCTTCTGTAGAAGCTCCATACTTACTCATGATCTGTTGAAAAAGGAGTTCATCACTGTGGTTAAAATTTTTGTATTTATAAAGTTGTTGTGCCTGGCAGCCCATTGTTTTAGTCAGAAGGAGAACTATGCAACAGCTGCTTTCAGCATGCTTTTTCTTTCAAAGCTCACTAGAAGTCCAGTGCATTATCCATTGCACAACAGAGCCACATACTTGCTTTCTAATGGTCAGGTCCTTACTTTCCAAGTAATACCTGGTTTTACAAAAGGAGAAAGTGATCCTGTGAGTATTAGCTGCATCTCTGACTTTTAGCTATTTTAGATGCTACTGTATAAGCAGCAGAACTGATCAAAGGGAATCAGGTACAAATACTAGACCTGCGTACTTAGTAATAGTTGCAAAACCATATATTGTTGTAATTGTACTGAGTTAAACAAAATCTGAGTATAATGTTTCTGACCTGACCATTAATAACTTTATATACTCAGAGGATAAAAACCAATAGAAAAAATAGCAAAATATGCAAGTGTTACTATAAGCAGGTAAGTTTATTCCTGGCTATATTTGATTCTGAAGGATAGACAGAAGCGGGGGACATGGGGAGAGACTGATTTACTCTTACATTAGGAGTTGAGACACTCATAACATTAAAAGCCCCAAACTGCACTACCAGATCTGTGCTTGTATATATGTCATTCCACTGTGATTTACATTCTTAATTTGGGTAGGAAAATTTTATGCTTAAGGAGGTAGCATATAACAGATGATTTTACCCATTCTGAGTAGTGGTTTTCCACCTTGGCTGTACATTCAGATAGCCTGGGTTGTACCCTAGACCGATCCCTGGACAATCTCTGGGGACAGGACCCACCCTGTGTGATTTTAAGCCCATTCTGACGGGCACCCAAGCATGAGAACCAGTATTAAAGAAAGTGATGAATTTTATTGGAGTCTAACTCTTGAGTGGTGTGAAGGCTTCAGGCTGGCTTTTTATACTACTTTAAGGCTTTAGTGAGGTTTTTCCATTTAGGAGAACAATTGTAGCTGTACTTGTGAGTTTACATGAGTCTTATAGAAAAGAAGTACACTACAACTGTGTTTTAAGACTCTTCTTTCAAAATTGTCCATTAAAATGTTAATATTAACTTTTATTTATTCATTAACTTAAAATCACTGGGCATCTGGTTTATTCATGAATCCATTTTATGGCATCAATACATTTTTAGAATCCTTTAAGGGTAATTTTCTGTACTGTACATCTTATTCACTGTGCAGCATGGGGAAAGAAAGTAGTTTCAGAATTGCTAAAATGGGTTTTTGGTTTTTTCATTTAAAATATTAGAAATGACACCTTACCTTGTATGTCAGCAGAGTGATCGGTTGATGTCAAATGCTATTGAATAGCCTTTCTGTTTCTGCAAATTATGTCGTGAGGTTAAGAAACTGTTAGGAAATCTGGGAAAGTGAAGTCTTACTGTTGCATAATGAGAAAATACAAGTGTCAATATACAGTAATTTGTAGCTTCAGATCTGTTTGCCAGTCACTTACCTGAAAGACCTAGTGAGCATTTGAATATCCTAAAGCAACTGCTTCCTAATTGGATACCATGGCAACCCGTGTTACTTGTGCTACTCTCAGATCAGATCAAAAGAGGCAGAAGTACTCCCGTGTGTTGAGTCCATCATGAAAACTGAGTTAGAATGTGATGAGCCAGTCATTTTGAAATATTTCTAGAAGTGCTTTCATCATATATATCCCTGAATTATGTAGTATATTTAAAGATTTATGATTTTCCTCAAAAGGATTATCCATGTTAACATCTCATATTGATTAACCCTCAGTTAATAAACAGAAAAGTTATGGTTGTTCACTTTTTTTTTGATATGTGAAGTACAGTGACACAAACAAATGTTTTCTTATATTGGAATAGAAAAATTGAGATGAAACTGGATCTATCTTTTTGACCACATTATTTTGGTAGGACCAGACGGATCATACTTCTTCAGGTCATCGTCCAAACAAAAAAAGAAAGGTGGCAGAGAGTGAATTTTGTAGTGTGCATGTTTTTATTAAGTAATTTTAATGCTGCAAAACCAAAAATCGACTTTATTGGAATAATAGTGAGTGATACTGAGACAAAGAATATGGAACTTTTAATCTAAGTTGTGTAAGTAAATTCACATGAAGTTTATTGCTTTCTGATGTTTTATGAAACAAAAAATTATTAAGTTTTGAACAATCTGTGTTAACATTTGGAGCCTACATATATAATTTATGTTTTTGTAGTTGCTTTTGTTTATGTTCAGTAAAACTTTCATTTTCTGTTGTAGGCACATTTAAGCGTGTCACATTAAGTGAAAGCAACATGTTTAAATTTAGAAAATCTTAGTTCAGGAAGACTATCTCATATATATATTGCATGTATGGCCCAATTTAAGACCTTAAGGGTCTTTAAAGATACTGAGACCCAGACCATTCAGTATTTTGACTGCATTTAATTTCTTATTCAGTCACAGGGCCAAACTTAGAATTTAAAAATTATCTGATTCTTCTCTTAGAGTTCTTCTTCATCATAGCATTCTGCTTTAGAAGAAATAGCACAGTCCCAAATTTACAAATAAACAGGTTGCTTGATAGTAACAACAACTATCGCCAACACATATTTCATACTTTAATGTTCTCTTTTGGTTTTTCAGCATTCTAGAAAACTAAAGATTTCTTTTGCTTTTTAAAGTAGTTTGCTGTGGTGACTGTCTACCTAACTTTCTCATTTTTTCTAGCAGCTTATATCTATAATTCTGAGCATCTCACTTGTGTGTTTTATTGATGTGTGAAAATTGTTACTGTTTAATAGCAGTCATGATTGAATCATGGTTTGAATCTCCTCTAGCACTGTCCATCATTTGGATGTTGTTAAAGGGGGTGTTCCTTTTGGTGTCTATTACTTTAACAATGTGGTCTAACTCATATAATACAGTATCTCTGACAATATCTACAGCTGTATTTTTATCTCCGTGCCTTAGCAAATGCAATTTACAAGATGGTTTTTCTGATCTTTTAACAAGTAGTAGGTCCCTGATTAATAAAATCTTTAGCTGAAATAACTTTATTCTTAGAACATTTATTAAGATTTTAAATTCTTATTTCAACTCTTATTGAGATTTCAAATTCTCAAAGTTGATCTTGGTTCTTGCATATCATTTAGGCTTTCTTGAGGCATTTGGATTTATTATGAATGATGAATGTTTTCAGATACACCACATAATGGTGATTTGTCAAGTACTATATTTATATGGGAGATTGACTAGTTTTAGAGATGACCACATGACTCCAATAAATGAAATTCATCCTGCTGGTGATAAATAATGGCTTTTAAAATTTATGTTTCAGAACAAAGGAAGAATTATGCCCGTGACAGTGTCAGCAGTGTGTCAGATATATCCCAGTACCGAGTTGAAGTAAGCTGCTTTGGTGTTTGCTAATATTTAGAATGACTCTTGAGGAACGTAAAAATTGGAAGTAAAATCAGAATTCTATTTTATTTTATTCTTATGGTATATTTTAAGTGGTGTTGACCTTTCCTTTAGATTTGGTTCCCAAGAAAGTTTTGTATAAAAGTATTTTGTTAGTCTGGGTTCTGTTTTCATAATGAGTAAATTAAAACCATAACTACTATCCACTGATCGTTCGCAGTCCTGTTTCTCTTAAAATAAAGGCTTCTGTTTTGTACTGTAGAATCTTCTTAAAATTAAACCTTGACACAATGAGTGCTTTAGTTTTATTTTTAGTTTTTATCTCAAGTCATTAGTAGTTCTGTTTAAACAGTGGTTTCTTTTTAATTGTTGCTGTATTGTTATCTTATAAAGTACTTGCCCTTAATTTGAATCTAGGTGAGCTCTGCTTATAATAGAAAATATTTGAGCAGGGAAGTAATTTTTAAATTGCTCTTCTGTTTATTTTTTGACTTATCTCAAGCATACTTAACTTGGTTTCCATCCGTGGATTCAGTAGAGTGAGAAACCTAACGGTTATTACAGGGTAGAACTGCGGCTGGTACTGCGAGGTATTCCTGTCCAGAGTGTTAGAACTACCATGTAGACCGCTATTGTGCAGCACTTAAATAATCATAATAAAGTGAAGGAAGGTTTATTTAAAAAGAAATCTATTTAAGCTGTTAAGAGTTTGTTTCTATGCTATGTTATTGTAGTTCAGCATGGCTCAGTGTGAAATAGATTCAGATACCTTGTCAATCCAGACGTTATGCTCTGTATTCAACAAAAACCTGCTTGACTCTATTCTCTGAATATAACAATCATGAATGTGTACAGTACTTTGTGTTTATCCTTCACTTTTCTGCTATTGAACCTCAGTTAGGTTAATTCTGATTTTTGTTTGAAAAATGTGTGTTAACAGGTTGTATGTGTGTGTGTATTATTAATATTTCTTTCTTTTTCCCAATCATAAGCACCTGACCACCTTTGTTCTGGATCGGAAAGATGCTATGATAACAGTTGATGATGGAATAAGGAAGCTTAAACTGCTCGATGCCAAGGGCAAAGTATGGACTCAAGACATGATTCTTCAAGTGGATGACCGAGCTGTGAGCCTGATTGATTTAGAGTCAAAGGCACGTGTGTGAAAGTTATACAGTTTTATCCTCAAGAAGGCGCCACAAATGTTAATGTATAGCATCAGTTCAGATAAGGAAAAAGCGGGTGGAAGTTTGACAAAGTGAAATGTTTATATTTTATTTACAGAACGAATTGGAGAATTTCCCTTTAAACACAATCCAGCATTGCCAAGCTGTGATGCATTCCTGCAACTATGATTCCATTCTTGCCCTGGTATGCAAAGAGCCAACTCAGAACAAGCCCGATCTTCATCTTTTCCAGTGTGATGAGGTTAAGGTAAAAGAAGAATAGCTTTTTCTCCCTTCAACAGACATTCTGGCCAGTCTTTTTACTTACTTGTTTTTATCATATGACTGTTAGGTTCTGTACTAGCATTTTCATTTCTGAGAATTTTGGGTGAAAAGCAAATACCTTGGTATGTCCTGGGTGTATGCTGTACTAATACATATTCCTTAGTGTTTCCATGCAAGCAAAGAAGAAAACAGAGTGACATTAAAAATTTAGGTGCATTTTGCTTATTCTGTTTAAAAAGGATAGACAGTATATTCTCATGAAGGATTTTGGACTTATAATTAAAAATGGAAGCTTCAACAATCATGTTTCATAGATGATAAATAATCATGCTGGTCTTCTGTTTGATTCTGAAATAATCATGTAGTACGGGTTATTGCACTGATGAACTTAGATGTTTCCTATGATATTGATTTAAAGTTCACCACTTAATTATGTGACTTGAATAATTGCACAGCATTTGTAATGTGATGTGTGAAAGTAACTGAGCATTGTGGCCAGTAATAACAGGCTCTATCCTGAAAAATTACGTTGCAAAATATACTATTATTTTCAAGTGATTATAATTTGCGATGCCTTATTGGACCTCCGAAGTTATCTTCAACCTTGAATGCTTTGTTTCCTGAATTGATTTCTCTAAGAAGGAAATAATTTTGTGTTGATTGGTACCTTACCAAAGCAGTGATTTATCATTTTAATTACATAATAGAATATATTTGTAATTTTTTTTAATGAAGAAATTTTGGAAAGCCAACATAAAGAAATACTGATTCTTTCTTGTATTTCTTTGGCATTAAAATATCACAGGTAAATTAAGATTGTCTGTAAGCTGTGTATTTTGCAAATATCTTCTATTTTCAATTTATATTGTAGATGATTGTTTTAAATTTTTATTTAAAAGGAGCAGTGGCATTTAGATAATCTGTATATTAGATGTTCATTGAATTTTTTATATACAGTAGACCCTTTAAAGGTCATAAATTATATGGAGAATTTTGTAAAGCTATATTATTAAATCAGTAACTATTAAAGTGAGTATTTTGCTCTGAAAGTATAGTGAAATTTAATTCAGACATTTTCAAAACAGAATACTAAGTCAAAGGAGATTTCAAATTTGGTGTTTGTATCTGCACTCTCAAAGTCTGCTTGGGAGCAAAGAACTATAGTACTATGCTGAATAAAGTTTCTGGATATCAGTTTGGGAAATATAATGCATGCCTTCTTTGGTATAAGATGATACTAGTCATAGGTTCAGAGTAGATTTACTAAATACTCTTTGGTCTAACTAAAGCTCTTGTGCCACTAAGTGACTAAACACATTTACTCGTTAGTGCCGAGATCCTTATATAAGACATTTATTTCGTTGGCTGATTAAAAATGTCTAAATTCAATGAACTGTAATACAATTTCCTTTATGTAGATCGTCTTATAATCAATTTTGAGTTTTTACATTTTTTTTGTTTGTTTGTTTGTTTTTTTTATTTTTTTTGGTTTTTCTCCGGTACCGGGAACCGAACTCACGACCTTGCGCTTGCCAGGCAGGCGCTTTTGCCGCTGAGCTAAATCCCCAGCCCCAAGTTTTTACATTTTTTGAAAGACTTCATTCATTGCTCCTTCCCACCTTAGTGGTAAAGTTTCTTTTAGTATAATTATAGCCTCCCCATAAGAAGCTCAATATTCCTAGGTATGTTTAGTTTTAATATTCTTACAATGCAAAGGCTTTGCCTTCATGTTTCTCATGTCTCACTGGGATGAGGACATTCTTGTGGGCTGCTTTGGTAGGCATTGACACTATTTTACTGACAGTATGACCTTGGCCAAGCCATTTCATACAAGTGTTTAGATTTCACTAATTAAAAAAGAACAGATTTAAAGACCTTGAAATCTCTATTGACCTCTAAAATTTTATGATTATGAACGCTTACTGTAAAAGAATATGCAGCACACATATTTGAAAAAATACATAATTACAGAGAATAATCAAGCACAAAAATAGAAAATGAGTATGTCAGCCACAATCTTATGTACAGTAATAATCACTGGCTATAAATAAACTTCATAAAAAACAAGTTAGTTGCTAATCTCACATTGGCTCCCAAGAAAATCTAGTCCTGGAAAATATTGTCACAGAAATATTAGAAAACTTTGTTATCGGTAGGAAGTTAAGTTTCATCCAAAATGACAAAATAAAATGGTTATCCTGAAGGATGCAACCTAATTTGAGGTTTATCTCATGAATATACAAAGTGTAATGGAAAAATATGGCAAACGTTTAAATTAAAAAATTTTGCTACCCAGTGCTATTAATCTCCCTCAAAATACTGCATGTTACATTGAACACTCTTATCCCATTGTGGTTGCCACTTTTTGAAGCAGCAGTTCTGGAAATCCTCTTTCATGAGTGTCGTGTTATGTTGTCATGGTGACCTTAAAGTCCTGAATCAATTCCAAATGTTTACCTTTCATGGCTATTTTTGATTTTGGGGGAGAGCCAGACGTTGCACAGTGCTAGATCCAGTGAATAAGGGGGATGAGGACACATCCTAAAGACTTGCAACCCTGGCTTTCTTTTGGATGGCACTTGGCTCGGCTTACACCATATTTTTGATCATATTCATGAAGACACTCATGAAAGACAGCTTCCAGACCTGCTTCAACAAGTGGCAAGAACAGCGGGATCTCTGTGTTTAAAGTGACAGAAAATCCCTTTGGGGCATTAATGGCAATATGTCTTTTACTGTAATACATTTTTTAAAACTTTAAAAACTCACCATCTATTTCCATCACTTTGTGTGGTAGTGTGTTAGCTGTCACTGTGACAAAATACTGATTTATAAGGAGAATCAACCCATAGGGAGAACAGCCTTGCTTTGCCCTCAGTTCCAGAGATTTTAGTCCATCATCCCTTGGCTCTGTTGTGCTTGGGCCTGTGACACCGTAGGACATCACGTGGGGGGCATGTGGCGGAGGAGCTGATCTCATGGTAGCTGGGAAGCAAAAAGAGGCTGGGGTCCCAGTATCTTCCCCAAGGGCTCGCTCCTGATGGCATAACTGCCTTCCACTAAGGCCTTCCTAAAGCTCCTATCAGCTCTCATTAGCGGTGCAGGCTGGGACCTGACCTTTCAAAACATGGTCCTCGAGGAGGTGCTCCAAACCCGAACCATAGCAGAAGGATTTGCCATCAGCTGAGAGCAGCTCTGCGAGTATTGAGAGACCTCTTCTATAGCTTAACGCCTCGTGATTCTACGGGTGCGAAAGCGAAGGAACCTCTGTTTTCACATCCTTCTCACCCTCTTCACAAGCAAAGATGCTCAGCCGGTTTCATTTTAAGTACATGTTTATACTTTCAGATTAGGTAATCTTTAAAAATTACTTCTCCTTTTGAATCCTGTCATTGTAAAACTCACCACTAGAAAACACAAGACCGATATTTTAAAAACAGGTGGGAGACTTTGTTTTTGCATCAGGACACTTACCGATCCTGACAATCAGTATAATCCCACCGCAGACGTGGGAAAATCTCTCCAGCCTTCCAGGTAACTTGTTTCTCCTTGCAGGCAAATCTGATTAGTGAAGATATTGAAAGTGCAGTCAGTGACAGTAAAGAAGGCAAACAGAAGAGGCGGCCTGAGGCCCTGAGGTAAAGGCATTAAAAGAAATTAAGGGGTAGAATTGGTTACTTTCTTGTTTTCTCCTGTAGGTTGAGGAAAATTATGTTCAATGGAGATGTGTTATTCTGTTTTCCAGCTTACACCCTGTATCCCCGCTCTTCTGCCCACTCTGGTTTTTCCGTATGTTCCTGCTCTGTCTTCTCTCCCTGTGGCCGAGTCTGTCTCTGATATGGCCTCCACTTGGTAGAAGGCACAGAGTTATGACAGATGAGTGGCATTTGAAGAGAAAGTAACCCAAGTTTAGTCATATAAACTAACCATACAGTTGGTTCACAGCTTTTCCAAATGACATGAGATACAGAAAAAAATTTCGACCTAGTTTTCAGTTGAATTTTAATTTTTCTGTACTTTTCTATCTAGTGTGCCTTTACAAATAGACTCAGTATAGAATACTTAGGAAATCCTTATTATACCTCTTTTGAAGTTGATGAACTAATACTGTTAATTGAGATAATGGATGTATAATAAGATAGAGATAGTAAGATATTGTTCGCATTGCTTTTAGGATGATTTCCAAAGCAGACCCTGGCATACCGCCTCCACCCAGAGCTCCTGCCCCTGTGCCTCCTGGGACGGTCACCCAGGTGGATGTGAGAAGTCGAGTGGCAGCCTGGTCTGCGTGGGCAGCTGACCAAGGGGACTGTAAGTCTTTCTAGAATTCATCCTTTCTGAACACCCAACTTTGAGTGGTGCTATACTTCTTGCTTTCAAAATCTGATGCTAATTTCTGAGCTGAAGTTGAAGTAAATTTTTAGAAAGTAAACCTTAGTCAAAGGAAAGTTAAGCCCTGACTACTGTTTTTTTTTTTTTTTTTGTTTGTTTGTTTTCCGGTACCGGGGATCAAACTCACGACCTTGCACTTGCTGGGCGGGCGCTGTGCCTCTGAGCTAAATCCCCAGCCCCAGCCCTGACTACTGTTAAGATCATTGTCTGTAAGACTTCACAGGAGTTCTTTTACTAAAAGTGGCATTAGGACGAGAGTCATCCTTTTCTTTTAATGGTGAGGGCAAGTTTTACTTAATGGACAGTTAAATATATAGTATATAAATGAAGAGCAACACAAAAGATAGATAATAGAGAGTAGGGAGAGAGGTCTTTCTCAAATGGAAAAGGGATCAAGAGGTGGAGAGAGGGGGACATTGGGATGGAAAAGGGATGAAAACAGGAATGAAGATTGTTATGTATCTGTACCAACTCCATATAAGGAATGTAAACATTATGCGTGCGAACATGGACTAATAAAAAACCCCACAGATAGTAATAGACTACACCCCAAATAAAAGATGGCCAAGTTTTTTTGTTGTTGTTGTTGGTGGTGCTGTTGTTTTTAAGATTATATATCAGTCCTTCACTTATTATTATCTCAGCACTGACCTTGGCTGACAGAGCTGTTGTAGCTGGCAGTGAGGATGTAAGGAAGTACTCCGGAATTGGCAGCGGGGAGGAGGGAGTGGCATTTATCATCTGGCTGAGCTGGTCAGATGGACCCTGTGTATATACTCTTGTTTTACTTTGGCATTATTTTTAAAAGAAAGCAACTATAACAGAGAACTTAGAGCAACTTTTTTTATGTCACAACATTTTACTAGAATCTGAAATTATTGTGACTAGAAAATGCTTTAGAATATGTTTGGTCCAGTCTTTTTATTTTATAGAGGGAGAAATTACAAGATAGCAAATTCAGACTGGATGAGAACTTTACCCTTTTGCTTCATACTCACTGAAACTTCTTAAACCTTTAGTCTTTCGTCTAGTAAAATATTACTCAGATAAGGTATCTAGTGGTGCAGTTAACCAACATAACCCAATTGCCAGGATGTGTGGCGCTGAACTCTGCTTTGAATCTGGTGGGTCAGAAGCTGGGCTTTGAAGCAAGAGCTGAATCCATCTGCTGCGTGACTGCAGAAAGTTGCTTCTCTGTGCTTTGAATCTCCTCTGTGAAATTAGGTCAATAATTTGTGGGTTCCTGGGACTCTGAAAGCAAATAACACGTATACCACCACCTTGTGTAGGACCATAAGCATAATTGGACACTATTTCCATTTTGCCAAATGGTATTTACTTTTTTCTGAAATTTTTACTGTTTTATTTTGATTTCTTGTATTTTAAAAAATATTTTTCAGAAGTTTGTATGTAAGTCTAGCTTCCAGAGATATGAAAGAAATCTTTTAAACATATATATTTTGTTTTCAAAAATAAAGTAACAATTATTATTTTCTCTCAATTTTATAACAGGTTCATTTTTAGGAATTGTGTGATTTTCTTTCCGTGTACTTTATATTAAAATGTTGTGCTTAAAAGACTAAGTAGGAGTTTATAATATTTTCTACTTTTTGTATCCTTAAGGTATTTTTGTTATCATTTTGGTGGGAAGGATCTGTTTTCTTGTTGCTTTTTGTTTTTTGTTGGAGAGATGTCTTGAAGTCTTGAGGTCTTGAAGCTGAAGGATGATGCAACGTTTTAAGTTTCAGACATTCTGAACAAATTTGTAAAACATACGTCAAACTTAATATTATGTACAGCAAAAAAAAGACTTATCTCAGAGGAGTTTCTGACACTGATGAGAACTTGTTTGAAACAGCCTCTATAATGTCTTCTAAGTACGGAGAAATAGGGTTTTCAGATCTTCTAGTTAATGCTAGGCCACATAGAACGACACTTAGTGCATGAGGTTCTGTCGGGATACAGGCCAGTTTTAGCTGAAAAGCCCCCAAAAGAAGTGCTCCAGCTCCTTGGAATCCCCAAGGTGGAGTTGCTCTGACTTGCAAAACTGATGATAGTATAACAGTGGCAGTGATGTCTCAGAGCTGCGAAAGCCCTAGAAATTGGGTTTCTTCCACTCCTGCACTCCACATGATATTCTGGGACCTTGCTATCCTCATCCTAGTGTTTATATTTCACCTTCAGTTTCCCGCTTTCTGTAGTACACTGTAGCAAGCTAGGCGGCACGAACCATATGTAAAACCGCAGCTACCTGGCAAGATTTCCTACATAGAAATTTTAACGATTTTAAAGTAGTTACAGCCACTAATTAAGTGTCATAAGGCTCAGTGATATTCTTTTTTGGCAAGGGTTCCATTTATGGGTAATGTGAGCACAAAGGAGGCTGAGCAATACAGAATTTGCAATTTTTTTGCAGTTATGTGTATTGAACTTCCTGAGTCATAATGATGTGTTATGAGTTATGTTTTCATTAATTGTGATCTATTGATACTGTTCCAGCCATACATTTTGAATTTAATTTGCTGTAGAGTATTGATGTCCAGTGGTGGTGTTAACTGACATCAGGAAGGAGTTCATGATAATGACCTTCTGATTAACACCATGCTGTAACCAACCGAGCTACCTTAACATTAGAAATGCTCTTGAGACATTTGTTCTTGAATTTGCAAAATCCTGAAGGTATTTCTCATTTAAGGCAAATGAATTAAAATTAATGAACCTAACATTGTGAGATTTAAATTAAATTACAACTAGAATTTAAGAAGTACTCTATTTTCAGAATTTACTAAGTTTTATTGCAGTCACAATTTTGACATGTGTAAAAATTAGATCTGTTGCATTAGAATTTAGTTGGCCCTTGTTTGTGGTTTTGTTTTGTTTTTTAAGACAGGAAAAGTCTTAAAGCTAAAAAGTCGCTATAAAGCTCAGGCTGGCATTTTACTCTCTGTGTAGCCCAGACAGCCCTCAAACTTGTGATCTTCCTGCCTCAGCCTCCTGAGTGATGTGACTACAGGCATGTACCACGGTACCCAGTCTGTAGTTCGCCACTTCTTGAGAAGTTGAGGCTGAAATGCTGGCTTATATTCTTCCTATATAGAAATTAAAGGGTCCTAAGGTAGGGTTGGCTCCTCAGATACTTGACTAGAGAAAGGAGAGAACAGAGAGGACAAAAGATCATCAGAAGAAGGCCTTTATGCCATCTCTGTCCATGAAGTTCTGTTGATGGTGGCATGGATGTGTCTCAAGCATGATGGAAACCTTTTGATGCCACTGGCATTCAGTTTTAGTCGGTCTTCATGCTTTAACCATCCGTATTGGTGTTGTCTGAGCGGTAGGGTGAACGACTGATGATTTTCCTTCCTTTAGTTGAGAAACCCAGACAATATCAGGAGCAGGAAGAAACACCTGAGATGATGGCGGCCCGCATCGACAGGGACGTGGTAAGTGCAACAGTTGTCTTAGGTCCTTGGCTTTTATTTAAAGAGGAAAAATAATAAACTGAAATAAAGGTAATTTAAATAAAGGTGTTTTGTGGAAATTATGCCTTTTGGTTTTGTTTTTGTTTTTGGTACTGGGAATCAAACCCAGGGCCTCGTACTTGCTAGGCAGGTGCTGTGCCACTGAGCTACACCCACAGTCCTGATGATGCCTTTTGAATTATTTTCTTTCTTTAAATGTTTTTGCTTTTCTACAAATATTTATTTGGTAGACTTACATTATCTCGTAAGAATTAGCACATGAACTAGTTTACAAAGGACTGGATTGTTTGTTTTTGTTTTTCTTCTGGTGCCAGGAATTGAACTCACGACCTTGCACTTGGCCAGGCAGGCGCTCTGCTGCTGAGCTAAATCGCCAGCCCCTTACAAAGGTCTTGAAACGGACTCTTTAGATTTGAAGAATAGTTCAGTTGTTCTTTTCTCATAGTTTGTAGTTCGTAATTAAGGTGTCTTTTTAATACGTCTTCTTGGGGATCCTTTAGATTGTATTTTAGAATGCTTGAAAGATAAACATTAAATGGCATTTTAAAAGGACAAATATGTAAGTTCATTATTTTATATAGGCTAGTGCTATATTTTGTATTTCTCCGTAGTTTACTTGGAGAGTGACAATGGCCTGTGATAAACCATAAAATATGATGTTCATATAATTAACTTTGATATTGTTAATTCTCAGTTTTTTTTTGGAAGCAAATAATTAAAGGAATTTGAGTTTGGAATTTAATTTTCTTATCACATTATTGGATATTATGTGTGATGAGAACACGATGAGAAAATTAGAGTAATCAAAAATAATAATCAGAGTAGATGTTATGAATGCTTCCATGATGGTATTGGAAATAGAGAAAATTGCACTAAAGAAAATGTGAAGGTCTGACTGTAGCCACAGGTATATTTAGTTCAATTTTTTTCTTAGAATTAGCAGTCAAACTTTAAGTTTGCATGTGGGGGTTTCCCCCTGCATCCCTGCTTTCCCCCTTCCTTCTTTCTTTTTATGCAGCTTTCTGTTGTTTACTGACTAGCCTTAAGACAAAAATAGTTTTACTTCCTTTTTATTGTATTCTGCATTTTCTAATTCCAGCAAATTTTAAATCATATTTTGGATGACATTGAATTTTTTATCACAAAACTCCAAAAAGCTGCAGAAGCATTTTCAGAGCTTTCTAAAAGGAAGAAAACTAAGAAAGGTAAAAGGAAAGGACCAGGAGGTAAGATGGTTTTTTTAATATTTTAAAGTCTGTTCAGTGCTGTGCTGGGTAGTGCTTCATGCGGTAGAATTTCTGTCCCCGTGAACTGTTTAGCAAGACACCACCAACTGTGAAGCAAAGTCTCTTCCCTAGTTTGGGACAGCAGCAGAGAGGTAGGTAGGGAGTACGATGAGCCCCGGGAAGAGCTCGTTCTGATTCCAAGTTGGCTGTAATGAAGCAAGATCCTGGGTTGCATTCTCTAGATCAGAAATTCTGAGTTCAGGTGGTGGACCATCTGTCTGTAGTTTTCATTAAGAGATTGTACATTAGTGTTGCTCAAAGAGAGTCATAGCTCTAGTCTGTCATGTGGATTTATACTGTAAATATAAAGCCTTATTTTTAAATAAAAGTTGGATTTTCTAATTGAAATATTTTAAAATGTCAAGGATTTGAATTCATTATCACAAAACTCTAAGCAATATATTCATATATAAAGTTGCATACAAGAAATTTGAAGCATGTTGCTATTCAGAATTTACAATCCCTCAAGGTGCATAAAATCATAAACATGGAAGTTTATGTTACCCGTTAGCATTGTCTTCTGGATGAGCTTACCTGGATATACCTTACCTCTACATACTGAAATTAAGTATTGCTTCATGGTATGTCAACCCACTGTTCTTCCCTGTTCTTTATAAAGAAATACATTTCTCCTGGTCACCCAGATTCAAGGGTTCTTCTTTGACTTTGACTTCACTCTCTGGCTCATAGCCGTCATTGCTTTATCAGTATTTCCCACATCCAGCTTTATCCCTTTTCATTTTCATAATTAGTATCAGTTCAAACTATGACTTTTTTTTTTTTTGATGTTTGGAATTGAACTCAGGACCTTGAGCTTGCCAGGCAGGTGCTGTACCACTGAGCTATATCCTCAGCCCAAACTTTGACTATTTTTTCACCCAGCTTTCCAAGCAGTCTTCAGCCCTCCTGTCTTGCATACTATGAGAACAGCCTCTATAAAGATCTAAGCCAGCCGCTTCACGCTTGTGCTGTGAAGCATGCCAGTTCCACATTCTATTCTCCAACTCCTCACTGAGGATGAGGGTCATCCACAAACTAATCTTGGTCCACTTATCCACTCTAACGTTTCTCTGGTTTCATATTTGTTGTTTCTTGTGCATGGGGTTTATTTGTTCCATATGTTGCTTTTGTTCAACCATGATGAGTCTCTCAAATAGCGCTGGAAGAAACTTTTAAAATTCTATGTTAAAAGTTGTTTCCCCTTGAAACATCTTATAGGTATACATTTTCCCATCCTCCCAACCAGAAGCAGTCAGTCTCTTCTCATACCATGTTATTAATACATTTTTGTTATGTATCTGATTCAGGTCCTTTTTATATTTTAAGGCCCTTACGAACAGGCGCTTTTACCTTACAGTCTTCACAATGAGAACCACAGCAATGGGCCCTTAGGCTAAAATACATATTTATGGATTGAATGAGTTATTGGTAGTGCCTAAGGGTGAAGGAATCTGTTCAAACTTTACATCTTTTTAATTTGTTGCAGTCACTGTGAGATGTGGTAGAATAGCTAGTTGATAAGTCTGGTATAATTGTCTAATTTTTCATATATGAATGTGGTTTTTGTTTTTGCATTTAATGCGTTTCCTTGGAATTTTGTTCTCACTGCTGCTTTTTACTTCATAAGAGGGTGTTTTAACGCTGAGAGCAAAACCTCCACCTCCTGATGAGTTTATTGACTGTTTCCAGAAGTTTAAACATGGATTTAACCTTCTGGTAAGTGGAAAATATATGTTTATGTAATTGGATACAATAAATTTAAAAATCAAAGACTAGCCAGGATGTCTTATAAATTAAGAGATAAAGTTGTTCTTATTGATATTTTTGAATGTGTCTTTAGATCGGCTTTTAATTAGATCAAAAAGTTGTAAAGTATGTACATCTTAATAAAAATATAATGGTTTGAGAGTTTTTTAAAGCTAACTTCTCATAACTCTCATTTGTTCTTGCGAATGAATGTACTAGAGTGAAGTTAGTGGTGAAGAGCTCGTCCGTTGAGTCCACATTAGACCTCTTTCAGTGTCCATTCCTTGCTTATTACATCACTGTAATATACTTGTTTGTTTTCTTAATGTTACAGGCCAAACTGAAATCTCACATCCAGAACCCCAGCGCTTCAGATTTGGTTCATTTTTTGTTTACTCCATTAAATATGGTGAGATTTCATTAATTTATCATTACATTGTTCAACCCCAAGTGTCTGACTGGATTATCTCCACAGCTTTTCTTCATTACCTTCATGGGTATTGTTTCTCTAACCATCTTGTAAGCATTGAGAATGTGAAATTTAAGAGTTTAAAAGAATCTTGGAAATCATCACTTCAAGCACCTAATTTAGGACTGGGCATGTGACTCAGTGATAGAGTACTTTTCTATCTTATGCAAAGCCCAAGATTTGATCCCCAGTACTAAAAAGAAAAGCAAGAAATAAACAGACAAAGATCCCACTGTATTTTAGAGATGAAGGAACCGATTTTTTCGTCAGTACAAGCCGGTGTGTGTTGTACGGTGCTTTGAAATATGTAGACATTTTTATCCTCATCACAAAATAAGCTAATCCATAGAAGTCCCTGCTGAATGGATGGTTTTGCTGTATGCTGTTACACAGGACCCAAATTATTTCCACTGAGGTGTTCTTCTATCTTCTGAGCCATTTATTCATTTATGTATTTATTCAACAAATGGTAATTGAGAACCTATGTGTTTGGCATTTTAATAGCTCAGGAGGAGCAAAACATGAAAATTCTTACCCTCTTGAAACTTTTATTGGAGTGTGGGAGGGACAGCCAGTATTGTACATAATTGCATAAATGGTACAGTGTTCTGAAAATTAAATGTTATATGGAAGCTAGAGCAGAGAAAAGAAGCAGGGAGTACCCCTGGTGGTTCCATGCATACCTGGTTGTGTGTATTGTAGAATATCATACTTTTTGAATAGCGTTGTTGAGAGAAACCTCACTGAGAAGATGGCATTGGAGTAAGGGAGGTAAGGAATGAATCATGTGGGTTTCTCAAGGAATCTCAGAGGACAGCTAATGTAAATGCTCTGAGATGGTAACATGCAAAGTTTGTTCTTGAAATATGTAGGTCTGGTGAGGTAAGCAGAACAAGGGAGAAGAGAGTAGAAAGAGATAGGGCAACTGGACTACAAATATAATTTATATGTGGGATTGCCAGACGTTTGGTATGTAGAGAATTTTAAGCAGGAAAAGATTGCTCTGGTTTTACTGTTTAGAAATTTGAGTGAAGAACAGGCAAGATTGTCTATTAGTGTAAGCCAAATGGGAGATTATGGTACTTGAACTTTGCAGAATTAAGGGTGGGCAGACAAAATCTGATTCTGGTTGTTAATTTGCTGGAGGATTGGATATGCTGCTGTGCAGGACTTTCAGTGCCACTGGAGAGTCTGGGCTAAGAGCTGTAGTGATCTTTAAGGTGGAGAAGCTTGTGAGTAGAACAGGACTTTGGAATGAGATGAGGAGTTCAGTTTTGGACATGTCAAAATTGACTTGCATGCAGAGGGGGAAAATTGAACTGAAAATTGAATATTTGAATTTGGAATTCAAGGGAGAAATTAAGCCAGGACATGTCCACTTGAGAATCGAGGGTATATCACAGGCATTGGATGATGTCACTAAAGAAGCGATTGTTAGTGAGGGAAAGAAGAAAAGAGCTGGTTGAGTCAGCCAGCAAAGAAGATTGAGAAGAGGCAGTCAGGGAAGAGAGGAAAACAAGAAGACTGTTGTAGTATGGAAGCCAAGTAAAGAAAATATTTCCAACTGGATAAATTGGAAGCTGTCTTGCCTGCTTGTCCTTGTGAGAGCCATACAAAGGCAAAGAAAGTCTAGGGTGAATAACTTTCTCTTTAAGTGACTCCAAACTTAAAACAGTTTCTTCCATATCCAGGGAACAACTAGAAGCCTTTGGCATGCCTACTATGTGCCAGATATATTGATATGACATACTACAGTTTTACCCCCAGAAATCTCTCTTCCCATATATACATATTTTTTGCATGAGGTGTAATTTTTGATAGTTATTGAATGATTTTGGGGGAACAATTTCTAGCTGGATGGTGTATTCATCACTGGGAGAAAATACCCAACACCTGTGGTTAAAGGAAGAGAGCTTCATTTTGGTTCACAATTTTGGTGGGTTCAGTCCACAGTCAGCGAGCTACATCATAGAAGGACCTGGCACGGGAAAGTTGCCTTGTCATGGCAGCTAGGAAAAAAAGAGACAGGAGGAGCCAGGGGCAAGAATACACCCTTCCAGGTGACCCCTTTTCTCTTCTTGTCAGGTCTCATTTTAGAACAGCATAGTCAGCTATGAACTCTCTAGCCCCATGATCCAGTCACCTTCCAGAAATCCCACCTCTAAACCATGCAACTCATGGGGAAAGTTTTAGATTTGAACAACATTAAGCCCTGGCCCTCCCAAGACTCACTTCCATCTCATTTTACAAACTACAGTTAATTGATTTCTAAAAGTTACCAAAGTCTTAACAGACCTCACATTACTGAAAACTTCAAGTCAAAGTCTCTTTTGGGATTCAAGACAAACTCTTGGCGGTGAGCCCGTGTAAAAATCAAAAATAAAGTTAAAACCCTGGCAGCATACAATGAATGATACAAGGTAAACATCTCCATTCTGTAAGGGAGGAACAGAGGGATAGAAAGGAATCAGACCAAAGCAAGAGCAAAGCTTGCAGAGCAAACATTAACATCTGTAGTTAGGTGGCAGCCACCCAGGCCAGGTTGTGACCAGATGTGAGCTTCAAAGGGCTTGGACGGTCCTGCTCCTATGGCCTTGTTGGTTGCAGCCTACATGACCTCTTTCTTGGGCTGGCTCCATTCACTGCCAGAAGTTTTCTTAGTAGACATTCTACATTTCTGGAATCTCCAAATTTCTGAGGTCTCCACACCTTCACCTTAGTCTCACAGCTGTGTGCGTTGCCCTTTCAGGTGCACCTTGCCTGGTCTCCCAGGCCTTTGAAATCTGAATGTAAGCTTCTAAAACTCTCTAACTCTTGCATTCTGCATGCCTGAAAAACCAGCACCACATGAATGATGCCAAAGTCTATTGTCAGCTTCACTAATAGCCTGGACGCCCTGGACTATGGTTGCAGTGGCCTCTGAGTGGCATGGCTGAGCACAGTGAAATGAGACCCAAGGAACCGATTTCCTCTGTGGCTCTTCAGAAGCAGGAGGTCCAGGGGCTTTCTTTTCCTTAGAACAACTTACACTTTTGCACCTTTGTGCTTGTGATGGGTAAGATCTTGCTGATTCCTGAGATGCCTTCAGGCTATCTTTCCTATTGTCTTGATACAAAGGATTGGACTTCTTTTCAGTGCTATCCTATTTAGAAACCCCGCTGTCCTAGCCCCAGCTTACAGGGGCTTTCCTTCTCAACAAGCTTCTTATCATTTGGCTCTGCTTTTTGCTCCTGATACACCTGGCAAAAATTGGTCAGCAGGACCCATGTGATAGCCTAAAGTTCAGGCTACCTTGCAATTTTGTGTACCAAATCAAGTAGTCCAGCATTAATTTAGTCTCATGCAAAGTCTTAGGACATGAATAAAATGTAGACAAATTCTTTGCCAGAATGGAACATACATATCCTCTAGTCGATTTTCTGATAGAGTCCTCATCCCTAACTGAAATCTCCTGAGCCTGGCCTGTACTATCCATATTCTTCTCACCATTCTCATCTTCTGTGCTCTGACCAGAGTCACACATCTAGCTTGGCTTTTAGCATTCCAGGGCTTCTCTATCCCACATCTTCCAGCTGAGCTTCATGTCCAAACAGCACAGTCAGCTAAGAACTCACTGGTGAGCTTATCCACTGCTGAGTATAGTGTCCCCATGATCCAGTCACCTTCCAGAAGCTCTGCCTCTGAACCATGAGACTTAAGGGGGACATTTGGTGTCTAATCCATAGCAGATGGTTCCATGAGTTTATCTAAGAAAACATTATACCAGTGTGTCAGAGGCTAGAACTCAAGATACACAGCTTCATTTTCTAAATTTTATATATAAGGTTACCCTTTCCTTATTTCCTTATTTAATGAAACAGTTCTGTAGTATATTTACCTTCCCATTTTATATTTTGTACATTTGCATATAATATAACAGCAATTTTTCCAAGATGATGTTAGATACAAAAGCTATTTCTTGCCTTCTGAGACAGCTGAGAGACTTAGATGGACTAATATTTAAGAGTACACATGGAAAAGTGCTGGAATTTGGGGAAAGCATGTCAGAAAAATGCAAATGAGTACTTGTTTGTTACTCTAAGACAAAGATCTCACCTTTGAGAAATCTTAAAAGACACATTTATATAATTCTATGAATTTGTTACGTGGGGAGGACAAATGAAACAGGAGTAGAGAAGGTAGAATGTCCTCTTAAATATTTACAGGATGAAAGAGTTTTCCATTTTATGGAGGAAAGCAGGAATATATAGAGTGATTATACATCGTTCATCCTATCAAAAAATCAAATGATTGTTTTATTGAATAACAATAGCAATAAGGAAAATGGTTGGTAAAGCACTCTGATTACTCTTTCAGTTCTGTGCTTTTTTTAAGAAAAAGATTAGTAACCATATGAAAGAGATACATTTCACTAATAGTGATTTTAGAACATATAAACACTATGGCCATTGAATTCTTCAGTATTGAAAATGGGGAAAATACAACATTTCTCATAGATTTTACTGAAGATCAGAAAAAAAGAGAATCCAAATAATAGGGGTAAATCTTATTCTTCTTTTGTCAAGCATATGTAGAGAAGACCTGAGGCCAAATTTGAAAAATTAGCATTGCTTCACAAGCTTAGGAAACTGAGTACACTTATCAGAATGAATGTCAGAAGCTGAACAGTAAGAGATTAAGAATGAAAGTTCATGACTACATCATTAATTTGTTAATTAATTAGTGAACATAGAGCATCAGATTTCTACTTACCTCATTATTGTTGAATAATTCTTGTATAACTTTTAACATTTAGATCAAGGCCTTCCATATGTGAAGAAACCAATACTAGCGTATGAACAATATTTGTATTCTTTATTCTATCATACTTCTAACAGTATCTTGAGAATAAGTATTATTCATAAACCAGTTTTTGGCATCTCTTTCTTTGTTTTATTAAAAAAAAGAGTAGTAAAATTAAAGAGAGTAGTAAATGAGAAGCAAACAAACAAAGAAATAGAACAGTAGCAGCATACCAGTATCACAAGCATAAACAAATCAAAGCAAGAACATTCAAAGTGATACAGGGTCTCAAGACAAAATAATATGAATCAACAGTGGTTGTTAACATTACATATTGCAATCTCCAACTACATTGCTCAGAATACCTGATGTAAGAATGAAAGATTGCTCAAACCATTGTAGGGAATAAGAAAATAATTCTTCAACATGACAGTAGAGATAACACAGTGTTTCACTAGACAAGATGGTAGGAGTTCATCATTGTAATTCCATTGCATATTGTTACCTTCAAATCAGTTGCTCAGACTACCACACACAAGCATGCACAATAGATCAGAACATAAACAATTGTAATCATAAACTGTTCATTTCAGTACACCATCAGATACCAGCAATCCAGTTATCGCAGCTATTCATATATATATTTATATGTTGTGTTCCTTCTTCCTTCTTTCTTTTTTCTTCTTTCCCTCATCCCAGTCGTTCCTTCCTTTGAGCAATTTCTTTCCCTTTCTGATGTCTCTTTCATAAGGAAAAATCTAGTCACACAAACTACAGTGAAACAGTGACAATTCAGTCCCTAACCTGCAATGAATCTTTATGATCAGGCTTTGTATCTAAAACCATTGGTTCATTTTATCTTTGTCTTTCTCAAAAAGGACTCCTTGTTGATTGACTCCCCAGTGCTAACTCTTCTGCTACTCCAGTTAATGTGCTTTCTGTAGGATCGCTGACATTTGATTTGTATAGGTGAGATGGGAAGGGACATTTATTCAAGGGCTGCCATGGGTCAGACAGAGTTTAGTGACTTTAAACCTTGTGAATCTCTCCCCTGTATGTGCAGTGTGCTCACAGGCATAACCAAAGAGCTCATGTGTGTGTAGGTATCTGCTCCCACTCCTCAGGGAACGACAGCCCCTCCCCTTTTACTTACTCTTGTTTCATTTATTCTTAAATAAATTTCATTTATTATTAAACCAAAGATTGTAATATTCATGTATTCCTTTCTCTTTTTTATGTTTCCCTCTTTGTCATCTCTGTCTGTTTTCAGAAAATACTTATAGGGCTTGGAAGTTAAAATTTAATGGGCCAGATATCAGGGTAGGTTTTGCTTTCAAACAAGTCAGCCTACCACCACCTTTTCTTGAATTTCTTGAGTTTTTATTTTTTCCCCTAGTACTTTTTCTTCTGCAGTTCAAAGTCAAATAAGTTTTAGTCCAAATCCTCAACTGAGGGGAAAACTGAGAAATAAGCTGTAACTTGCAATATAATGTATTACTAGTGTGTATAGGTTGTTTTGAGGATGCGTGGTGGGAAGCTGTGTATCAAGGGTTCCAGTATGGGGTTAAGAAAGGTTTCACAGAAGAAGCGGTACCAGAGTAGGCTTCTGAGTGATGGAGCAAGGACCTGCTGGTGAAATGTGGACAGCATGTGCAAATACACAGAGGCATAAAACAACGACTGCTCATAATACCTAGATGATGCTTGATAAATTGACACTTGATCTGGAGCCCTTCAAAAAATAGCCCTTCTTTTTATTCCATATCTCTGAAGAGGTGGGATTTTCATAAAGGATCTGGTGTCCACTCTATGAGATAACTACCATGCTTCAGTCAGCTGATAGCTCCTGAGCAGCAAATTTACAGCAGTTTTTGGACATCCACCTACCATTTTGCTTATCAGGGAATTGCACCTGTTTGTTTTTTCTTGTTGTTAAATTATCCAGTTAAATCAGAGAAATCTCCTACAATTAAATTCTGGGTCAAAATGGCATAGATTTAGAGTAGAATTCATTCTTCTGTCCCCTTTCTCCTGACCCTTTTAGTTTTGAATGTCTGAATAGGCACAACCATGGACTTCAGTTTGAGGCTCATTTCTCTCAATACCATTAATGTCTGATTTCTGGAACCATATTTTTTTAGTTTTGCATAGTAGATTTTCATATATATATATATATATATATATAAATATTTAAAATAGAAAAAATATAGTTAAGTCAGCTAATGAGGAATTCTCTGCATAGCCATTAATATTTTTCAGGGAGACTATAGTTATATGGAACCAAAAGGTACATGATATGGATGTTGTTAAACTATTAACTTTCATTGTAGAACTTAAGCCCCTTTGGAGATAGGCAGGCAGGCTCTTTTTTATTTGGTGATATATTGCACATCACCAGAATTTAATTTGAATTTATAAAAGCAGTGCTGGTTTTGACATGGGATTTTGTCTGCACAGTTTAAAAGTACATAAATAATAGTTATCTTCTTGCTAAAAAAGTGACGTATTATCATCTAGGTGGTGCAGGCAACTGGAGGTCCTGAACTGGCCAATTCAGTCCTCAGCCCCCTGCTGAATAAAGACACAATTGATTTCTTGAATTATACTGTCCATGCTGATGAGCGGCAGCTGTGGGTGTCACTGGGTGACTCTTGGATGAAAGCCAGGTGAGCATATTGGAATTCAGCACTTAACACCTAAACGCCATAAGCATTGTTCTTTGTGTATCTCACTGATCTAGTGAGGTATTTATGTAGCTTTCCATGAATGAAGGGCAAGGTGTTACAGGATAAAGAAGCCTAAACGTAAAGCTTGAAGACTAGTGAAGGAGATTACAAGTATACGCAGTATAATATATGACAAGTGCCAGGAATGCATCATCAACAGAATGAGCTTGGTTGACAAGGTGCTGGAGCCAGGAAGAAGTGGGGTTATGAGATTTCATGGAAGAACTGGGATTTAAAATCAACAGATAATACTACTGTTCGATATAGGTGTACATGCACTTGAAAACACATATACATTCATATATATGGCGTTAAAATGGTTTGCTATATGCTCCCCATATGCTTTACAGAGGTACT